GTCCCCGGCTGGTCCTTGGTTGGTCCCCGGCTGGTCCTTGGTTGGTCCTCGGCTGGTCCTTGGTTGGTCCTCGGCTGGTCCTTGGTTGGTCCTCGGCTGGTCCTTGGTTGGTCCTCGGCTGTCCCTTGTCTGGTCCTTGGTTGGTCCTCGGCTGTCCCTTGTCTGGTCCTTGGTTGGTCCTTGGCTGTCCCTTGTCTGGTCCTTGGTTGGTCCTTGGCTGTCCCTTGTCTGGTCCTTGGTTGGTCCTTGGCTGTCCCTTGTCTGGTCCTTGGTTGGTCCTTGGTTGGTCCTCGGCTGTCCCTTGGTTGGTCCTTGGTTGGTCCTCGGCTGTCCCTTGTCTGGTCCTTGGTTGGTCCTTGGCTGTCCCTTGTCTGGTTCTTGGTTGGTCCTCGGCTGTCCCTTGTCTGGTCCTTGGTTGGTCCTCGGCTGTCCCTTGTCTGGTCCTTGGTTGGTCCTCGGTTGGTCTTTGATTGGTCCTCGGTTGGTCCTCGGCTGTCCCTTGTCTGGTCCTTGGTTGGTCCTTGGCTGTCCCTTGTCTGGTCCTTGGTTGGTCCTCGGCTGTCCCTTGTCTGGTCCTTGGTTGGACCTTGGTTGGTCCTCGGCTGGTCCTCGGTTGGTGCTTGGTTGGTCCTTGGTTGGTCCTCGGCTGTCCCTTGTCTGGTCCTTGGTTGGTCCTCGGCTGTCCCTTGTCTGGTCCTTGGTTGGTCCTTGGTTGGTCCTCGGCTGTCCCTTGTCTGGTCCTTGGTTGGTCCTCGGCTGTCCCTTGTCTGGTCCTTGGTTGGTCCTCGGTTGGTCCTTGTCTGGTCCTTGGTTGGTCCTCGGTTGGTCCTTGGTTGGTCCTTGGTTGGTCCTCGGCTGTCCCTTGTCTGGTCCTTGGTTGGTCCTCGGCTGTCCCTTGTCTGGTCCTTGGTTGGTCCTTGGTTGGTCCTTGGCTGGTCCTTGGTTGGTCCTTGTCTGGTCCTTGTCTGGTCCTTGGTTGGTCCTTGGTTGGTCCTTGGCTGTCCCTTGTCTGGTCCTTGGTTGGTCCTTGGCTGTCCCTTGTCTGGTCCTTGGTTGGTTCTTGGTTGGTCCTCGGCTGTCCCTTGTCTGGTCCTTGGTTGGTCCTTGGCTGTCCCTTGTCTGGTCCTTGGTTGGTCCTTGGTTGGTCGTTGGCTGTCCCTTGTCTGGTCCTTGTCTGGTCCTTGGTTGGTCCTTGGCTGTCCCTTGTCTGGTTCTTGGTTGGTCCTTGGCTGTCCCTTGTCTGGTTCTTGGTTGGTCCTCGGCTGTCCCTTGTCTGGTCCTTGGTTGGTCCTCGGCTGTCCCTTGTCTGGTCCTTGGTTGGTCCTCGGTTGGTCTTTGATTGGTCCTCGGTTGGTCCTCGGCTGTCCCTTGTCTGGTCCTTGGTTGGTCCTCGGCTGTCCCTTGTCTGGTCCTTGGTTGGACCTTGGTTGGTCCTCGGCTGGTGCTTGGTTGGTCCTTGGTTGGTCCTCGGCTGTCCCTTGTCTGGTCCTTGGTTGGTCCTCGGCTGTCCCTTGTCTGGTCCTTGGTTGGTCCTCGGCTGTCCCTTGTCTGGTCCTTGGTTGGTCCTCGGTTGGTCCTCGGTTGGTCCTCGGCTGTCCCTTGTCTGGTCCTTGGTTGGTCCTCGGCTGTCCCTTGTCTGGTCCTTGGTTGGTCCTTGGTTGGTCCTTGGCTGGTCCTTGGCTGGTCCTTGGTTGGTCCTTGTCTGGTCCTTGTCTGGTCCTTGGTTGGTCCTTGGTTGGTCCTCGGCTGTCCCTTGTCTGGTCCTTGGTTAGTCCTTGGCTGTCCCTTGTCTGGTCCTTGGTTGGTCCTTGGCTGGTCCTTGGCTGGTCCTTGGCTGGGCCTTGGTTGGTCCTTGGCTGGTCCTTGGCTGGTCCTTGGCTGGGCCTTGGTTGGTCCTTGGCTGGTCCTCGGTTGGTCCTTGGCTGGTCCTTGGCTGGTCCTTGGTTGGTCCTCGGTTGGTCCTTGGCTGGTCCTTGGTTGGTCCTTGGCTGGTCCTTGGTTGGTCCTTGGCTGGTCCTTGTCTGGTCCTTGGTTGGTCCTTGGCTGTCCCTTGTCTGGTCCTTGTCTGGTCCTTGGTTGGTGCTTGGTTGGTCCTCGGCTGGTCCTTGGTTGGTCCTCGGCTGGTCCTCGGTTGGTGCTTGGCTGGTCCTCGGTTGGTCCTTGGCTGGTCCTCGGTTGGTCCTTGGCTGGTCCTCGGTTGGTCCTTGGCTGGTCCTTGGCTGGTCCCCTATAGTTCTTTTTGTTAAACATCAATCTTTGTACTAAAATATTATTACTGGCATGAAATGTAATTCAGTGGAAAGGTGGAGTTTGGAGTAAAGTAAGAGGGGGTTCACTCCAGTGGCTGGAAGTTGGAGGGGATTTTGCTGCCATTCGGCTGGCGTTTGACTGGGATGAGCCATTTTAAATGGCTGCTTCTGTACATGCATCCGTGTGTTGATCTGGGTCTCGGTTCTTTGGCTAACGAGTCAGACTATGACCTGGAGAACAGGTTCTGCAGATGAACACTAAAACGTAGAAAGTTCTCCCTGCATGTTTGCCTTCAGCTGACTGCATTAGGGGGTCTGAGTATTTGTTGTCCTTTCCCTGGTGGGTCTGCATTCCCCTCAGTCCACCCTGCTGTTGCCAGCAGCCCAGCGGCTCTATATTTAGCCCTGGATCTCTGCCTGCTGCCATTGTCCTGCTGATGGAATAACAGCAGTCAGCCAGCTGCCCAGGAGGAGCTTTTCAAGCCTTCAAGGTTGTTTTGCCCAAAGATTTTCTGACACTTTGATCAAATCTGTCCTTGTTTAGGGGTTTTAAAGATGGAGCTCTTTCTCCAGATGGTGCAAACGGATGGAAAGTCTCATAGAGAAAAACTGACTTTATCGTGACTGTAATGATTGTTAGGATTAAATGATAATAACCCCTTATTGTCCTAAAAATAACAAACACACAAGTTAGTTCTCTGCAGAAGAGCAGAGAAGACACAAAGGGAGAATCTTCACTCCCTGAAAGGAGTAACAGGAGGGGTCAGAAGTTTACATGTGATAAAGCATGACACTTCCTTGTGCGATTTTATATCAGGTGATGGTCAGTCACATGTAGCAGCATGGCTGTATAATGCTACGTTCAGACCGAATGCAGCAGAAGCAGCAAAAACACGAGTGCTGCTTCATTTTTGCTGCTCGCACCAGTTTAGTTCTGACGCGCGGCTGAAGCTCCAGCTGCGCGGTCGAAAGTGGGTCTGATGGACTTTGGGCGGAGCTACTCTATCCATTCTTAGCCTGGAACAATGGCAGCTATATCTGCTGTGATCAGTGGGTAAAAAGTAGTTTGCGCTGTCACTATGAATTCCATCCAATAGGAGCCTCTGTTCCGGTCGCCTCATTGTTGTTTTCAGCTAGTGCAAACGGCAGGCACCAGGATAATAAAATCGAACATATTCTGCCGGCAGGTTTCTACATTTGAAGTTAATTTAGCCGTTAATAAACTGTTTCAGAGGAGTGATCATAGCGCTCTGCATCAGCAGTGCTGTGTCTGACTCCCTGCCAGCTCCCAGATCAGCTTCTCTCATTGGTTGATGTGGCGCGTCCAGCAGCTAAAGTTAAATGTTTCCAACTCCAGCAGCTGCTGATGATGAAGCGCCTCACGCGTGTCAAATGCTCAGAAGCTCACAACGCGCTGCAGGACCTTTAGATGCACCAAGATTCACATCAACCATTGACTTTACATGTAAACCAGCTGCTCCTGCTGCCTCTGCTGCTTTAGGTGTGAACGTAGCTTTAGACCAGACCCTGGGAGAACCAATTGTTCTCCTTTGAAGTTAAAAAAAACACGTTCCTAGCAGGCCAAATGCCTGCAAGTTAATACAAATAAAATGATGAAATTTATATTTTTCTAACAATATTGTTTATTTAGGATCCAACCAGACATGACATCTTAGTTTGTCATTCAGAGGTTCTTCCCTATATCTTAAAAACATGTGAATATTTGATTTAATGAAACAAAAGGAGTCTGGAATGTGTAACTATTTATAATTAGCGGGGTTAATTTAGTTATATGGAGGATAAAATATGCCAAAATTAAATAAATAAATACAGCATTAAATAAATAATTAAATGTGTCAATAATTAATTAAATGTGGAATTAAATAAATAAATGTGTCATTCATTAATTAAAACCACGTCACTAATATAAAGTGCCACAATTAAATAAATAAATACAGCGATAAACAATTAATTAAATGTGTAATTCATTAAATAAATAAGGAATTAAATATATAAATGTGTCATTAATTTAATAAAATACGTCTTCATCATCGAAACCATTAAAAGAATCTGTCAAACTCACCCATCAAAGTTAGGGGGCGGTTATCTAACACCTGATTGGTCACCCTGCACATTAAGGCGAAGCAAATCGATTACAGAGACTCGATTCGCGTTAACCCCGCCCCCTAACTTTGATGGGTGAGTTTGACAGATTCTTTTAATGGTTTCGATGCACTGCGACACAGGACCATGAAATAATTAAATGCACACTGAAATAATTATATATATTTTTTAATAAAATGAAGACGTATTTTATTAAATTAATGACACATTTATATATTTAATTCCTTATTTATTTAATGAATTACACATTTAATTAATTGTTTATCGCTGTATTTATTTATTTAATTGTGGCACTTTTTATCCTCCATAAAGTTACAACTGAAAGCAGAGCGTTTAAAGAAATGCTGAACGTATAACACAGGCGGTGCTCTGATTACTGGGAATCAATATGTTCTCCTCTGCTGGTTAAAGATGGAGGCTTAGATCAGGGGTTCCCAAAAATAACGATGCAAACGACTGGAGGCAAGTGTGACAAGTTGTTTTATTCATTTCTTGATAGATTATTTTTGTGAAATCTATTTATTTACTGAATGCAGACATCCAGTGACTGTTGCTGTTTTTCATGGTCTATGCACTGCTGCTGATGAAGAAGCAGATTCAGAAACTCGGTCTGATTCTGTCCTTCAGGTGTGGTCCTGGTCTGCTTCGAAGGCGACTCTGACGGCTACATCAACCTGGTGGCGTACCCCCACGTGGACAACATGGAGGGGATGACGGGGGAGCACGAGGAGCGGGACCCCCAGGAGAGGGAGCAGCCCAGGCGGAAGCACTCGCGGCGCAGCCTGCATCGATCCTCCTCCTCCACAGAGCACAAGGAGGAGCGGGCCGACAGGAGGGAGGCGCACGACGCCGACTCCTCTGACACGTAAGAACCGGGAGGATGGGGCCGTAGAGCTGCTGTCCTGCAGTAGGTTACCAAACATTTCTGAAGAATCTCCTGCCTTCGTTTGATGAACTGAGGCATTGAAATGTTAACAGATTATTGTCAAGGTCAACCTTTAGGTACGGAGTGAACTTTGTTCCATTATTGTTGCAAACACAGAACACAATTTTTAAATGGAAATTTGAAAAGCCAAAAATTCCAGAAATATATATATATGCCTGGAGGCAGACAGTGGCAGCATGGAGGAGTAGAAATCTGAGTTGATGGCCTCTAACAGGAACTCTCTGCTCTCCTGCAGCGTGTCGGACCTGAAGAGCCCCAGACTGGACCCAAAGGTTCACTCAGACGTTCCGTTCCAGATGCTGGACTGGAACAGCGGTCTGGCCTCGGAGAAGATCAGCTACAACCCCTGGAGCCTGGTGTGCCACAAGCAGCAGCTCAGCCGCATGAGGTCCGAATCCAAGGACCGCAAACTCTTCAGTATCCTTCCTCTGCGTCCGGCAGAACCGGACGGATCTCCGCGTTTCGACTAAAGCTGGGCAACATATCGAATAAATGCGTTTCTCTACGCACAATAGTTAAAGTCACTCTTATCTCAACCAGTGAGTACATATTAGCATGATGACATTAAGCCGGTGCCAAAAAAGTCTCCGCTTATTTTATTCTTTTTATTAAGATCTGAGGCTAGAGGAGGACAAATGGAACATCTTAAAACAGGACTTTCATAGAGATTTTAGACAACTTAGAGAAATCGAACGGTTGTTGTTGACACAAAGTTAAAAGTAGTGTAGCTTATTATGGCTAACTGACCGAGCTAAAAGAGGCTAACCTGTTAGCTACAGCTAGCCACAGCGCTACCGAGCTCTCCTCCTTTATATCATGGTCTCACAGTTATTTTGTCGACCAGAAGCACATTTTTTTTTTTCCAGTTTTTTATCGATCAGGTAAAACTTTTATCGGTCATTAGACATGCTAATGCTACAGATGCTCCCGACTCGGCACACGGGCGCTGCGTGATGTTATCGTTGTCCCGGCAACCACAATGTTTTACATCATGCAGCAACGTTCAGCCAATCATTTAGAGTAACGTCACTGGCATTTAGCAAGACTAGAGCAGATCTGGTAGCTACAGCGGCAAACGAAATATGGCGACAGCAGGTGTTCCAAATGCGCGATGTATGGCAGCGATTTGGATTTCATGCCGAGGACATCGAGAAAAAGGCGCTAATTTGTAAGATGTGCCGCGAAAACCGTTGCTGCAAACGGTAGCAGTACAAATTTATTCCTCTACCTAAAAAGTCATCTGCTGCAAAATGAAGAATGTTGTAAACTCTGCATGTCAGCGTCTCCCCGCACACAGATTAAAACGTTCAATAAATCCGCTGTGAAGCCGATGGTGTCGGCCTCGTAGCAGCAGAGTGTCGCAGTGAGCTTGTCGCAGATATTTTTGATTTATGCCCAATATTGAAGCGTGGTCTGCGCTATGTTATTCCACGCCACAACGCCAGAGGGCCAATCAGGAACTAGCTGTGGGTCTAGATACGGCCGAGGCGGTGAGGAAGTGGGGGCAAGTTTGTGCAACAACGGAGGGACATGAGGGCCAAAAAGAGCGGAGATGCAGGTGGAAAAAGGGTCCCAGCGTTCTCTGGCAGTTCTCGGGGGCAGGAGGGGGCCATTATTTGTTACAAGACACCAGTGGCGTAAGGCCACACCCACTGCAGCAATCAGCCAATGAGATCACAAGGAAGTCTTCGCCTCTTCCAGATACTGAAGTTTTGGTTCATTTTGTGGAGTGGCAGCCTACTGGTTAGAGCATTATGCTTGGGTCCTGGAGGTTCTGAGTTCAACTCCCACAGCCTCTACTCTGCGTCCCTGAGCAAGACCCTTAACCCCTGATTGCTCTCTGGGCGCTGCACAATGGCAGCCCACTGCTCCGCAAGTGGAGGCGGTTAAATGCAGGGAGTGAATTTCTCCAATCAGTAAAGTTCTTAGTTCCTATTATTATTATTATTATTATTATTTGCATTTGAAATATAGTAAAAATTTAACAAAATGCACTTTTAAAATCACAGAGGCTCTGATTGGACTTCAGTTCTGCTGACTTGTCTTTCATTAAGCTAAATGCAGGTAACTTCTAGTATATTTGCATCGTTGAACTTTGTAAAGTTGGTTATATTTCTGATAAGTTTGATGTTATTCTTTATAGAAATCCCACCAGCAGGCTGATTGTCCTCAATCCAGTAAAGTCGCTCATTTGAAGTTTTAAAATCTGTATACATGCATGTAGTGCTTCTTTGTAAGGGTGGAATCAGCGTGGGATTATCGTGATGCCCTCTGAGGGACCACAGGTTCTGGAGAACCGGCAGACCTGCTGCAGCCGGAGGCTAATGAACCAAAACAGCAGAAGTTCCAGTGGTTTCTAGATCATTGAAATCTCTGCTCATTACAGCAGGGCTTTTACTTTGAAAGGCATGTTTCCTGTTTCCTGTGCGCTCAAAGCGGTTCATTCCCTAACTGCTGCCCCCCAACCAGAGTTCCTGCTGCTGGAGAACGTGGTGCACCACTTCTCCTACCCCTGCATCCTGGACCTGAAGATGGGCACCCGGCAGCACGGCGACGACGCCTCCGAGGAGAAGGCGGCCAGGCAGATGAAGAAGTGCGAGCAGAGCACGTCGGCCACCCTGGGAGTCAGAGTGTGTGGCATGCAGGTAGAGGGCTGGGCTCCGCGATGCACCTGAACACATCAGCACCAAAACTGACCTGAAAATAAGTCTTAAAATCAGCAGATTTCTCTTTGAATGAGCTGGAAAATAAGGAACAGATAAAACTATTCAGTATCATGGTTGTAGGATTCATATATTGCATTATCGTAAAGCTAAATGTTATACAAAAACAATTACACATGCTGGTAAACTGTTGAAGCAAAATTTGTTTCCTATTTTTTTTTAAGTCTGATTATTAAACCATGACTTATTATGCTGTTTTCATTCAACAGACACAAATACATATGCAGATGTGCAGCTGAACCTTTGTTTTCAAAATCTTCATGGTTTATACATCATAACTTATGTCTGCAAACCTAATCCACATAATCCAGGGTTTCCGCTGGTCATTAAAAATCATTAAAAGTCATTAAAATATTATTTTTTGAATTAATTGCCATTAAAAATGCATTAAATATGATTATCGTGGCATTAAAAGTGCTTTTTGTGAAGTTGTAGGGAAATCGTATTTAAATGTCAATCATTCTGCCTTAAACATGTATATAAATGTTCCCCCTATCAGACGATATTGTCCCAACATTTAGAAAATTTAAATAAATAAAAAATCCCTTCCTAAAATCTGTGTTTTTTCATTATCTTCTGCAGGCCAGTTAGTTCTACGTCAGCCTGAACACCTAAATTCATCCAATCATATATCAACAGTCATCTGTCAATCACATATTTTTGGTCATAGCATCTTGATTCATGCTATATAGATCGTGATATATTTTAACTGCTTCTGGTTGATCGTAAAGCCGTGTGTCCGGTAAAGAAGCCCAAAGTTGAGGAAAAAGCTAGAGAATGGGAAAATGCAAATTTCAACAAAAGTGGCTGGAAAACGAGGAATTCTGTTCATGGCTGCAGCCTGTCGACGCAAATGATGACTGAGGATTTTTGCCGTGTTTTATATATATATATATATTGTTTTATATATATATATATATATATATATATATATATATATATAAATAAGTCATTTCTAAGAGCATTAAATTAGAGTCATTCATTCCTTTATAAACCCTGTTCTCGTAATTTTAAGACTTTATGCCGTCATACCGAAGTTTGAATTCTGAATCTGACCGGACTTTTCCTTTAAACGTAGCTACAGATAGCAGGAGCTAAATTCTTCCTCACACACTCCTTAAATTTGAGGAAATTTGTTCTGGAGAGTTAATTTCCTGTAACTCAGTCGGTGAAGGTTCTGTTACTCCGATGTTTAAAACTACGCAGACCAACAAGCTTCATCTCCAAACACCTTCAGATGTTTGTGTCATCTTTTTCCCTCCCCGTCTGTGCAGGTCTACCAGCTGAACACAGGCCACTACCTCTGCAGGAACAAGTACTACGGACGCGGCCTGTCCAGCGAAGGCTTCCGCCAGGCCCTCTACCAGTACCTGCACAATGGGCGGGGCCTGAGGCGGGACCTCTTTGAGCCCATCCTAAATAAGCTTCGCAGCCTGAAGGTGGTTCTGGAGAGACAGCCGTCGTACCGCTTCTACTCGTCCTCTTTGCTCATCATCTACGAGGGGAAGGTGAGGCCGGCCTTCTGAAATAACGCATCTGCAGACGTTCCTATTCGAGGGCAGATTAGACCGCTGCTTGGTTTGAAACGGTTTTTATTCTTTGGATTTTTAATTGATTAGACGTACAGTGTGAGCAGGTAGATTGCATCAGAGTGTCGGGTCGCACAGTGTGAGCTGTAGCTGCGTGCAACGCTGAAAAAAATGAGCTGCCAGAAGTAGAAGAGGATCCCATTTCCAGGGCAGATCAGGCAGAGATTGGCCAGAAAGGCCTTAAACACATTGATTATCTCAGACTAGGGCTGGGTACCAAACTTCGGTTCTTTTATGGTACCGACCGAAATGCTTCGGTTCTACAGAGAATCGAAACATGCCTCGTCTTTCGGTACCAAGTTTTGGTGATTGGCTGTAACACTTAACGTGATTGCGTCATCCAGGAAAAATACACAGGTGGTCACGCCTACAGCCAGGGTTCATGTGTATCTGTTGTGAACTGGTTGCAGCGTCGTGGAACCCCTTTAAAATGCCCCCCAGGTCAAAAGTGTGGCTTCACTTTATTAAGACTGATGCCAATAGTGCGCAATGCAATACATCGTGCACGGAAACAATTTAAGAGCAGAAAGTTGCTCGGTGTTTGACTGCAAGAAGAGCGGACCGCAGCCGGCGCGACCATCCTCCTCTCTGCAGGCAGTGGGCGGAGCAAAGCCAGAGCGGAGTGAATCATGCTGCTTTCGAACTGGACGCAGCAGGAGCAGCAAAATCACATCTGCTGCTTCCTTTTTGCTGCTTGTTCCAGCTTCTGACGCGCGTTGGGCGGAGCTACTCTATCCTTTCTTTGCCTTGCAGCTATATTTGCTGTGATCAGTGGGAATAAAGTAGTTTTATTATGTTTTTAAGTGGGAAAATCCACCTGAAAACTTAATCAGTGCAGTCAGTTCATCCTGCCTTCCAATATTTCTGTGGGAGCCGCTCAGACCCCCACATCCCAGCGGTGCGCTGTCAGTAGGATCCCATTCAACGGGCTTGTTTGTCAGACATGGTCATTTTTCTAAAGGAAAACTGCTAAGTAAAAAGGTCCTCACAATGTAACAGTGAATATTAGACACTGAATTATTTATTTTTTTATGTAAGAGGAAAAATGTAAATGGAAAAATCAGAGCTTAAAATAAAACGCAAGAAAATTTTTGAACAATACCCAGCCCTATCTCAGACAGTAAAATATTTTTTCACCTTTTACACATTCTGGTTTAGTTATAAATAGGATTTTGGTCTTTTTCGTGAAGCCTAAACAAAGAGGACCAGGATGCACTTGAGCCGATGGTACCGGTACCGTCCATCCTGGTACCAGACCAGGTACCCGATGGACTGTAGGTCTTTGGGCAGAATTCTGACTTCCTATCTGAGAAAGCGTCTCCATGTTTGGCCCGGCGGGTCCAACTGGACCTCTGATCCTAGTTTTAGTTCCTGCTTTGTGACCGTACTGATTGGACGCTTCATTGTTGACTGTGCAGGAACCTGAAGGCCCCCCGGGACCCGGACCGGGCCAGAACGCAGCCCGGCAGCAGAAGACCCCCGCAGATCCTTCTGGTGTCCCCACCAACGCCTCCGGTGGAGCGGACCCGGTCCAGAACCCGGTCCTGGGGTCTCTGTCCTCTGAGGGACCTGGACATGCGGCCTCAGACCCCCCCTCTTCTCACCCTCCTACACAAGCTCTGCCCACCAAGTCCGACCGCTGCCCCTTCGCCCCCCCGGATTGTCCCTCCTCGGCTCCACAGCGGTCCCCCCTGGTGGACGTCCGAATGATCGACTTTGCCCACTCCACTTTCAAGGGTTTCCGCGGCGACACGGCCGTGCACGACGGGCCAGACCGGGGCTACGTGTTCGGACTGGAGAGTCTGATCCAGATTCTGGAGAGCCTTCGAGACGAAAACCTGCTGTAGCGCCGGACCCTCAGAGAGCGCGCACATCCGGGCCCCCGGCCGGGTTCTGGGAGGGTCTGTGGGACCAAACTGGCATGGTTCTGTTCAACCGCCCGGTCTCCACACACACACACACACACACACACACACACACACACACACACACACACACCTGATACTGTGATCTGTTCAGGCCCTGCTGCAGCGGCCATGTTCTCCAGACCCTTCCTCTGTAGCCGTGGAAACGGGTTTTTCTGGACATCAGTAGGACAGAGGAAGGGGGGCCAGTGGAAAAACACCTCATGGTGGATTTCTGCTCTTATGAGGACCTCTGTGCTTCTAACATTCCCTACAGGCCCCGCCCACTGGACCAGTGAGCGCCCACGCTCTGTGGCATCCTAACAGGACGGCTGCTCAGAGCGCCGATGAAGGGAACCTGGTGTCCGTCCACTAGGGGGAGTCATTCTCCATATTAAAGCTTCTCTTTAACCACAGAAACGTTTTCAGCTTCTGAGGATCAAACATCTGTCCTCCTCTGCACAGCGACGCCACAGAACCTCACTTCCTGCGGGCCCGGTCCCCCCCGCTGACCCCACCCAGCAGCCGGACCGCCAGCCGTCACCTCCTCCTCACTCTCCTCGCTCCCTCAGAAACCGAAGCGGATGAACGGACTGTCGTCGGCTCGCCTTGTACTCTGAGAATGTCCGTGGTTCGTAACGTTAGAGGCGTAAACGTCACTTTAAAGATGTGTCCAGGTGTTAGCTTAGCTGCTGTTAGCGGATCTCATGGAAAGAGTTCGGCTCAAGTTTCAGAGGACGGATCAGAGCCGCTTTTCATGGGATTTGTTAATTGGACCGATGAAGAGTCAGAGTAATATTTTTTGATAGATATTTAAAAAAAACGTGATAGAAATCACAATAATAGAAAATGAGACCAAAAAGATAATAAGATTCCTTTTAAAAGGTTTTCTGGTGTTAATTTCTGAGGCAGTCCTGCCTGAAAATATAGAAAAAAGTTTATATTTCTATAGAAATCTATGTCAGAGTCCTAACCCAACCCTGGAGCTGGATTTCACACCGTTGGCCAATCAGATTAGTTCAGCAAAGCTTCCTCTGACTGAGGCTGAGGCTGGCCGCAGGGCGACACCGCCCCCTGCTGGACAGCAACAGGAACTCAGCCCCAGGAGCAGGAATTGAATAGAGCAGAAGTTATATTTTATTTTTTGGTTTATTAAGGTAATAATTTATTTTTTTATTGCAACCCTTTCCCACAGATACGGGTAAATGTTTTATCTTTAAAAGCCCCCCCCCATAAAAGTGTTTAAAGAATAAAAGTAAAGCTGTTATTAGGAGCAGGATTAGAAGCAGTGTTAGTGGAGCTACTCAGGTCTGGGCTTCCTGCTGCCTCAGTCGGCTCGCCGCACGGTGCCCTCCTGCCTGCTTTGGAGCTCCGGTTCTTCTGGGGAAACTGTTCATCATGTCTGTGTGCGACCTCGGACCTCGACGGAGAACCCTGCATGCTCATCAGACCGTTACTGTCCTCACGGCTTCAGAGACTGACGGGACGCATTTTTCTTTTTGTTTCCATCTGACATCCTGTTTGTTAGAAACAGTGAAAGTTTGTGAGATTAAATCTTTCCAGAAGCTTCTGCCTCGTGTTGTGATTCCTGAGTGGACCTGATGTTTTTTCAGTTTTTCTGTTTCCAGCAGCAGGAACGGCGCCGTTTTCAGCACCATGGTTTGAGCTGTTTGATCCGTTGTTCAATTCTATTCAGTTTATTTCTACTTTCCAGTTCACCAGATCATTATTTCTATAGCTCCAATTCCCATCATGTCATCTCAGGTCACTTTCCGGCTCACCAGATCATCCAGTCAGATTGATTCAAAGTTTTCTATCTAAGGAAAACCAGCTGATTGCATCGACTCATTGACTCTTCAGCAATCCCTCACACTAAGCATGCTTGTAGCGACAGTGGAGAGGAAAAACTCCCTTTGAACAGGAAGAAACCTCCAGCAGAACCAGGCTCAGTGTGAGCGGCCATCTGCTGAGGCCCACTGGGGTTCAAGGAGACAGAAGCAGACATAGAAAAAGAAGCATAGATACAAAAGGCAACTGTCAACCAGCTCCACAGGCGGCCCCGTCCAGGAAACACACAGCCAGGCAGACGAGCTCCGAGCCAGCTCCCATGTCAGAGGATGAAGAGAGCACATCCAGTTAGTCACAGTCAGAGAAACAGGACTACACTGGAAAACAGGCCAAGCTCCAACATCTAGAAACAAAGGTGTTGATGGCAGCAGCACAGCTGCTATTTCTCTCCAGGATGGAGTCACAGCCAAACAGGAACAGACCAGATGAAGCTACTATGAGAAAAAGCGGCTTTTGATGTGCTGCTGTCGTTTGGCACTACCTACTTGTATGAAAAGACTTTCTCTGCACTGATGTACCTTAAAAATAATCGCAGATCGCGATTGAATGTGGAAGATGATCTCTTATTAGTGCTCTCCAATATTAAACCAAGATTGGACTTTCTGTGCTCCAAACATATTACCTATCATTAGGCGAGGTTAAGTTGAAATTAAAGTAATGAGTAAATCACTGTAGAATAATGTTATGGCCGTGGTGGTGCCCGACTTTACACGAGTGAATATAGTGAATGCTGTAGCGGAAGGTTCGCAACCATGTTTGGTTGTAGCCAGTTTGTGGGAAGCATCTTGCTAACCAGTTAGCAACTTAGTGCTAGTAGGTTCCCAATGGGAAATTACATTGGGACCAAGTAGCACTAAATTGGTGACTTATCCCAAAATGAAAGTACTTTTCATTGAGAGTTGTTTACTAGTGAGAAGGAAGAGTTACAAGTTAGTCAAAATTACCCAGATTCACACACCAGGTGTGGGAAGCCATCCATGATCTCCAGGAGCCTTTATGATCCTCTGTGACCCTTCTTCATCTGAGAGGTCACACACTGATGATGGATGAGAAGGTCCGGCTCTCGATTTCTGCTCCAACTCATCCTGAAAGCTTTCTGCCAGCTACAGGTCAGGGATCTGACCCCCCCCCCGTCATGTTTGAGAAGGGAGGGTTCATCTCAGCTCCTTTCACTGCAGGTGATGAGGAGGCCTTCAGCTCCAAGCTGACTGCATCATTTGCAGGAGGACCAGCAGGGGGCAGCGATGTGCTGCGACTGTCTAGTCCAACTACTGTGTTATTAATGTCATTTAAATGACTTTAATTTTATAAAGATATTTTTTCTTCCATCCTTTGGCCTCATATGTGATTTACAGCCCAGTAATTTCTAAGTATTTCTATCTGCATTATAACGTCCTAAATTTGTCATATTCGTTCTTTTACTTTCAGCTGATTTCTATGAATCGCTGCTATATCTTTAATTTGACCTTATTTGGATTTATTTTTTTTAATGTTTTCCCCCCATTTTAAAAACGTTTTTACGACGGAGTATTAGGGCCACACATGAGGAGAAAAAACATTTTTGTCATGACGAGATTAAACTTGAAGTTTAAAGTTGAAATGTCTTGTTGAGTTTAATCTCGACGTGTCGACTTTAAACTCGCCATTTCGAGAATAAAGTTGAAATGTCTTGTTGAGTTTAATCTCGACGTGTCGACTTTAAACTCGTCATTTCGAGAATAAAGTTGAAATGTCTTGTTGAGTTTAATCTCGACGTGTCGACTTTAAACTCGCCATTTCGAGAATAAAGTTGAAATGTCTTGTTGAGTTTAATCTCGACGTGTCGACTTTAAACTCGCCATTTCGAGAATAAAGTTGAAATGTCTTGTTGAGTTTAATCTCGACGTGTCGACTTTAAACTCGCCATTTCGAGAATAAAGTTGAAATGTCTTGTTGAGTTTAATCTCGACGTGTCGACTTTAAACTCGCCATTTCGAGAATAAAGTTGAAATGTCTTGTTGAGTTTAATCTCGACGTGTCGACTTTAAACTCGCCATTTCGAGAATAAAGTTGAAATGTCTTGTTGAGTTTAATCTCGACGTGTCGACTTTAAACTCGCCATTTCGAGAATAAAGTTGATATATCGTGGCGACTTTAATCTCGACATTCCAAAGTTTGGAGAAAAGAGCAACCGCGCTCCACAGCTGCAGTCTGCGTTTTAAGAGTGAAGGTAGTCTTTGACGTGCTGCAACTGTATAACTGTATAATCATCACAGAAAGTACAATTTGACCAAATCATCTACACAAGGCACGTCTGATTCTGGAATCTGTGCATGTAACCTGTGCAGCGGTTGGCTCTCTTGAACCAATTTCTACTTTATTGTCGACACGTCGAGATTAAACTCAACAAGACATTTCAACTTTATTCTCGAAATGGCGAGTTTAAAGTCGACATGTCGACTTTAAAGTTGACATGTCGAGTTTAATGTCGTCATGACAAAAATGTTTTTTCTCCTCATGTGTGGCCCTAATACTCCGTCGTACGTTTTACTTAATTTCTATACAAGACAACAAAAATAAATTGGGGCATGTTACTTTAATTCTAGTTTATTTTATATTTATTATTGATTTATTTATTAATAACCAATTAATTCAGTTAATTATTTCACAGATCTGGAGAATCACAACTCAAATTATAACGGTTTACATTTTATAATATAAATTTGAATTTATATATGATAGCTGAACAGCAGAAAAAACTACACATTTAATTTCTACATTATATTTGACTTTTGTAGATTTAATAGCAGTGAGCTCAGCTCTGCTTTTATTTCCATCTGTTTGCATAAAAGTAAAGGAAGAAATTCAATGCTACATTTATTAGCCACAATCACAGTATAATATCTAATAACTATAAACACTACAAGCAAATATAAAGAAACTGCAAATAAAGCTCTTAGTTACTGTAAACTAAACAAAATCTATTTCAGATGCAAACAGAAAAAATTCCGGCTGATAAAATAACATTTTTATTATCAGCCTGAATATTTAATTGATCTAATTTGATAAACAAGAATCAGAAAAGAACCCTGGATGGGTTCAAAACATTTTTAAAAGTTAAATTAGAACAGAAATTGGTATTTGATGAGAAAAACATGTTTTTCTCTCCATTTCGAATCTTGATAAATAAATTCCTCGTCAGCGTTTCGTTAAGGATTTATTTTTTGCAGTTGACTATAGTAACTAACTATGTCACTGTTGTTAAAATGCTGCATAGATTAACCTCACTTTATGAAATATGTTAGGTTTGTTTTTATCCATTATCTGAATCCACACTGCATCTAATTCTACCAAACTAATCAGAAGGATGGAAGGAACTAACCTGTGTGGTAATCAGGTCATTATTGGATTTGATTGACAGATGACGGTTGATATATGATTGGTTGAATTTAGGTGTTCAGGAAAACGGGAAAAAAACCCCACAGATTTTAAAACAGAAATTTTCTCAATTCTGGCACAATATGGTCTGATGAAGAGAACATTTATATACATGTTTAAGCCAGAATGATTTGACGTTTAAATATTATTTCCCTTCGACTTTAACAATCTGGATTCAGGCTCGAAATGAGCTCCTTGATATGTGCTTGAGAATGGCTTAGTCTCCATTCAAACCCAGGTTTAAAGCCTTGCAGGGCAGCATAAAGCCCACTGCCAACATTAAGAAAGAAATAACAAACGATCAGTTCAGGGGTTTGAGAAAATATGGGAATCAGGAGATTTTTTTTTTTTTACTTGAAAATTCAATGTACAACATGGATGCATAAAAACCTTTTATTTCAGTGTTAATTTCTGTTTAAGGTAACAGGTTATATTTAAACATCTCCGGACCTTTACTGGTTGATTTTATTTTTTTATGTGGACCCTGCTGATTTTCAATTGGTTGCTCCTGGTTTATAGAGTAGCAAAGGGGTTAAACCTGTAACTAAGTTGATTTCTTGGCGCTATCATCACAACCTCAACCATTTCAGAGGGGAACAGAAGACCTCGCCTGTTCAGCCAATTTGTTTCCAAGTTTGAAGACGTTTCTCTTCCATCCAGGAAGCTTTTTCAATTCAAAATGTCAGAAATAGCGTTTAGTTCAAGGCTTTATCCAGCAGCCCAACAAAGCCTGGTTGTAGTTTAGAAAACATGCAAATAGAAACGGATGAACGGGTCCCCCCCTTTGGAATGGGGGTCATTTGGCTTCTTTGTTAGCCTGCAAAGCCCCATACCTGTCTATGTCTCTGAAAAGAAGGGCATTAGAGGGAATTGCTGGCCTGGCTGAACAGGTGAGGTCTTCTGCTCTCCTGTAAAGCGGTTGGATCTGCGATGATAGCGGGAAGGAATCAACTCTATCGCTGAATTTTAAAATATTAGATACTACGCACTTGAAATAAGATGTTTTTTATTTTAAACTTGGATCACTTCCATTTGCAAAATCACAGAAAATAGAAGTCAAGAAAGAACATATTTTTGTCCTTTAAATGTTTTGCTTTTAGTTTCTTGTATTTTAATCTTATACATTTAATCTGCTTATTTTATATTCTTATGTAGCCCTTTGAAATTTGTTTTGAATATAAACCATTACACCAAAGACTATTATAATTATCCACTGCTTGTCTCTGCTAACTCTCTTAAAGCTGAATTTGATAATAATAATAATTAGATCCATTAGTTTCGATAAAACATTGAATACTTAAAATAATTTTTTAGATCTTTAGTTGTAAATATATTTGGAGTGTCTTTAATCACTTTCTTCTGTAAAAGGATTATGCCCAGGGAAATAGAGGCTGGATTATGGCCAATCTCAGGACTCTGACTTTAATCACAGAATTCTGACTTTTTTCCCATTTTAAAATACATAAAATAAATGAACTTATTTTTCCCCAGTGGCCCTATTCCTCTTCTGTCCTGCCTGTTTATTTTCCTCTCTACTAGGCTGGATGAAAGCATGACCAAATAAATATGTAATTTAAGCGATGACATCATTGAAGGACTTCTAGGCCAGCCAATAGCATCGCTCCCTGCTGAAGCATTAGCAGCAGTGAAATAATTGCTGTTATTAAGTGAAGTAGCAAAAAAATCTCCGAAAATATTTAAATCCCTTTGGATTGTATAATATGTTACATGATTTATAGACTTCATTAACTTCATAATGACTCTGCAATGTGATGGGCCGATTGTTAAAGTTAATCTACTGATGCTATGAAACAGCCAGTCTGTGTCAAAGTGATGAATTTATGTTTATTTTAAAGTCTTCAGTCCCTGAACATGAGAACATCATGGTTGATTGATGTTGTTGCGCAGTGATTGTTTACATTCTGACCTTGACTGCTTCTGTCTCCTTGAACCCCAGTGGGCCTCAGCAGATGGCCGCTCACACTGAGCCTGGTTCTGCTGGAGGTTTCTTCCTGTTCAAAGGGAGTTTTTCCTCTCCACTGTCGCTACAAGCATGCTTAGTGTGAGGGATTGTATTTGAGTCAATGAGTCGATGCAATCAGCTGGTTTTCCTTAGATAGAAAACTTTGAATCAATCTGACTGGATGATCTGGTGAACTGGAAAGTGACCTGAGATGACATGATGTGAATTGGAGCTATAGAAATAAACTCAATAGAATTGACCAGTCTAAGTAGGGAGTACCAATATGGCGGCCGATGGCTTCACTTCAACCCCGGTTTACCAACGGACAATCAGCAATCAGGGAATAAATGGAGATCAGCTCTGTAGCCACCAGTTAGCATCAGTGCTAACCGGTGGGCTGATTTGTTAAAATAAAATAAATTTTTAAACTCAGAGTAGAATAAGTGCACGAATATACGGAATGTTATCAGACGCCGTCGATGGGAAGGATTTTATTTTCCTGTTGGTTTAGAAATCAGTGACTTTGTTTTAATGTGTTAAAATTATCTAAGGAAGAATAAGAGAAAAAAAAAGATTAATTTTAGAAAAGATTATATGAATATTTATTATGAAAATGTATTTAAAATGTAGATTTTATTAAATTCTGCTTCTTCAGGTTCTGATTTCAAAAGTTAGAAAAGATCAAACTGACAGAAATGAATAAATAAGAGCAGCTTCACACAGAACCGGTCCGATCCGGACTGCTGGTCGCGCCGAACCCGGCCTTGAAACAGCAGAAAGTTCTGAGGTTTAAAAACAAACAGCTTATGCACCGTGAGGACGTCGCCGGAGCTTCTGCTGGGGTTCAGACGGCGTCCCGCCAAGCTTATTGCACCAAACCGCTTCGGTTCTGGCTCAGCGGACTCGGAGGTCGGATTAGGTCCCTATCCTTCAACCTCCTGGGTTCTAGCTACGAGTCCAGAAGCGGCGCTCCTCTCCGCCGCTTCGACAGATCCCCGGCGATGGCCAGCGCCCCTCCCTTCAGGAAGCGGACAAAGTTCTCGCCCACCAGCGGGCCCATGGCGTACAGCCCGGGTCCGTCCGCAGCCAGAACCCGGTTGGTGAACGGGTCCACGTCTATGGGGTTTCTGCGGCAGGATATGGGCTCCTCCGGGTTTATTCCGAGGGAGCGGCCGTTATCCTGGAGGAAGGAGAGGTTAGGGTGGGCGCCGATCAGAACCAGCGCCTTGGAGACTTGGACCACCGTCTGATGGCCAGAGTCCGACTCCAGGACGCACTTCCTGTCCGGCCGGAAGGCTGCGACCCGGTGGCACGGGAAGCTCAGGTAGCCGGGGTAGGAAGACGAAGGGGGGCGTGAGGAAGAGGAGGGTAAGGAGCCGAGGCTTTGCGCCGGTTCCGGCGTCTGAGGGGCGGGTCGGTGCTGCTGCTGGGTCATCATCTGATGGACCTGAGGGAGAAGAGACATTAGTTTCTGCAGCATCAGATGGAGGCGGGCCAACAGTGACCGCCAGGCGGGAGCCACCAGGAGGGAGCCGCCGGGCGGGAGCCGCCGCCACCGGAGCCTCACCTTGTGATATTCTGGGTACAGCAGTTTGGGCAGCTGGTTGAAGATGAGCCCCGGGTCGCTGACCGAGCGCCTAAAGGCGTGGAACATCGACGTGTTGAGATGGTGAGCGGCGAGCACGGCGTCTGCAGCCGTAAGCCCCGCCCCGACCACCAGCAGCGGGTCCGAGGACTGGTCGAGCTCGCCGCGAGAGATGGCCGCCTCCAGCTCCCAGAAGGAGTGGACCACGAAGGGCAGCTCCTCGCCCTCCACGCCCAGCCGGGCCGGGACGTCGTGCGTTCCCGTGGCCAGCACCACGCTGTGGGCCAGCAGCGAGAAAGGAACCTCCTCCGTTACCGAGCAACCATCTGCAGGCAGAGAAACCAGTTAAACCAGTTTACCCACCGTGCCCTAGAACATCAACCACCGCCTGTTCTTTAACAGCACCTTCTAGAACTTCAGCCTCCCTCAGCTGCAGACCCGACACTCTCCAGCAGGGGGCGGAGCCGTCCGCCTTAGCGGGCTCTCTGGTTACCGTGGTAACTGTGGTCCCGCAGGCAAAGTTCTGCTCCAGGGACATCTGGGACACGTAGTGCTGGTAGTAGGAGGCGATTTCAGCGGGCGTCGCTCGGTCGTTCCTCACGTTCCTGCAACCAGCCAGCAGGAAGTGATGTCACAGCTCGCCGTTAGATCTAGAGACGCTCAGCTCTGCTGCTGAGCATCAAACAACTTGGACCAAATGGAGAGAAATTTATTTCTGGAGAGCCCAGAGTTCTGCCCGTCAGCAGAGACAGTAATTAGTCATTAAATAGTAACCCCCCCCCCCCCTTTAACCTTTGGTGCGTCATCAGTATTGTTATCTCAGTAAGTCAAACTTCTAAAACTTCAGAAACTAAAAGGTCTGTTTTAAACTTCCTGTGTCTCCATGGTAACAGTATTTTCTTCGTTTATTGAGCAGCGGGTAGATTTGGAGCGGCTGCAGTTATTTAAAAAAGGGCCATGATTGGCGATTCGATATTACAAAACCATTCCAGTGGACTTTATAAGGAACTTTATCCTCTTATTTGTTAGTAAATTATATAAAGTATATTTATATCTGTTAATTTGTTACCTTTGATATTAACTATGTTTATATCAAGGCAAAAGTTTTCAACCGTATCCGGCCCCCGGCCCGGGTCCTGCCTGCCCCTCTGTGCTGAAACAGGCGGTTGGCTCCACGCCGCTCTGAACTCCCGTGCAGCTCTGTTTGAGGAGCTCGCTGTAACTTTTGGTTTATTGATCGAAGCAGGTCGATGGCCTCGAACGGCCCGACTGCATTGATCGCTAAAGCACGGACATAGTGCCGCCCGCTCCCTCCTGTGCACCAAGATGTGCAAATAATCTCTCTATGGGAGATTATTTCCTGCTAAAAGACAACAGCCTACACTTTCAATCTGAGAGCAGGATTTTCTCTCCTCGCATTCTAACCTTCTGCGTTCTTTTAAAGTCGTAGGGAAGCGGCTGTTCCAACCGTTACGTTTCCGAATTCTCCCCAGTGGTGCCCGACTTTACACGCGTGAATAAAGGGAATGTGATTGGTCGTTAATCAAGGGGGCGGGATTGTTGTGGTGGAAGGTTCACAAGCAAGTTTGGTTGTGGCCGATTTGTCGGAAGCATCTTGCTAACCAGTTAGTGTTGGAATAATTATGTATAATATATAAGATGCTTAATGTTTGTTCTTATGATGTATAATGTGTGACATATTACTGTTCCAGAGAGGTGATGCACAAGCAGTATAGGTCAACTCTCAGGAGGTATTGCTCAAGCTTAACAAAACCAGGAGGTTCTCGGACCATTTGACAGCAAGACATTTAAATGCAAATTGACCTGTTCACTGAGGCTGCAAATTGAATTGTATTTCTTGTTTCCTATTCCTTTAGCAGCACCTCAGCTTGTGTAACTAGGGAGCCCCCCCCTCTGACTTTAATAAATAGAGGGGAGAAAGCTGAAGACCGGCAGAGTGGGCTGGAGATGTACCTGCACGGTCTCTTTCTACTCTCCTCGCGAATAAAAAGAATTCTGACTCTGTGCCTTTCTTTCCTTGTTTTACAGTGTTTTAGGTGTTAGACCTGACAGTTAGCATCTTAGTGCTAGCAGGTTCCCAATGGGAAATTCCATTGGGACCAAGTAGCACTAAATTGGTGACTTAGAAACGACGCTGTCAAGGAACGCTATGGACAGAGGAAACATGCAAGAGAAGGAGAGTTTAGTGTCGGAGGTCGTGGATGAGTCTCCTCCGTCATCCATTTTTTATTTAGAGGAGGAAAGCGGGGACGAAGATGTTGTGGAAGAGGACGCCAGGGCGGCAGAAGCTTGGTTTGGTGTAGAAGGCTTCCAGCCGTACATGTTTGAGCCCTTGCCTCGCAACGCTGCCAGTTCTGTTAGCTCTACGCCTGCTGAAGACACAGACGTCCATCCCCGTGAACACTGGGACGCAACTCAATGGGAAAGGAAAGGATCCTGATTTCAACCGTTGCGTATATTAGCTGCGACATATGAATCAAGATGCTATGACTGAAAACATTTGATTGACAGATGACCGTTGATATATGATTGGCTGAATTTAGGTGTTCAGGCTGACGTAGAACTAACTGGCCTGCAGAAGATAACGGGGAAAAAACAGATTTTTTTCAAAATAGAAATTTTCTAAATTTTGGGACAAAATGGTCTGATAAAGAGAACATTTATATAAATATTTAAGCCAAAATGATTTGACGTTTAAATATAACTTCTCTACCACTTTAAATCTCTTCTCCATCAGATCTTTTGTCGCTGCTCTCTGATCTGAAGTTTCTTGCTCAGATTAACTCTGTTGCTGCTTCACAAAACATTTACCTTTATCATGATGTATTAAATATAGAAATGTTATTTATTCAATGGTGTATCTATTTCATCACGTATTCATACAGTTATATTTAATGCCATATGTAATCATTTTAGTTTGTCCCCTTTAACCCTCCGTATAGGAGCCACTAAATCAGTTACTGAATTATGTGCATAAAAATGTAATGAATTATTTCTAATTGTTGTCTAGAACCAATCAGAACCTCTGCAGCTACATTAGGAAGGAGCTGCTGCTTCCCTTCAGGCTCCATCAAACCGAAGCAGAAGCATACCTGCGTTTCTCTCTCATCCAGTCCTTCAGCTTGAGCCCAGGAAGCTCCATCCAGTTGGCCAGGCTGAGGGTGAGCATGGAGCCCTCCATGGCCTGCAAGGAGAACATCTCAGCGTCAGACCTTCACCTTCCAGCAAACAACCCACAGCTAAAGCTCTGAAGGAAGCCCGTACATGCCACGCCCCGCCGGGGGGGCCCTTTCCCAGAACCAGGTGAGGGACGGCCCGCTCCGGCTCGTACCGCCACTCCAGGGGGGAGGTGTGGTCCAGTCCGAAGTCCCCGTCTGGCAGAAGCAACGAATCAAACAGCACCGCCACGGGGTTGGACGAGCGTCCTTCCAGTCCCTCGCACAGATACTCCAGGTCCTGCAGAGAAGATCGATTCAGACCGACCCGAACCAGGTGAGCTTCACTCTCAAGGCGCCCGGCTTACCTGCTCCAGGAGAGACAGGTGAGGCCGCTCCGCCAGCTTCCTGCTCAGCAGGGGGTTGGGGTGGCGTCCCTCAGGTGACAGGTAGGGGGCGTACCCCGACAGCAGGTAGGACAGGCAGATGCCTGAGGGCCCGTTACCTAGGAAACAGAACCAGGTGGATGAGGAGGCGGATCGGATTCTGGTTTAACATCGTGAATAGGTTCTGGTCATCTTCAGGGGATGATCAGAACCAGCCGGATCAGAACAATCAGCTGGATCAGAACAATCAGCCGGATCAGAACAATCAGCCGGATCAGAACAATCAGCCGGATCAGAACAATCAGCCGGATCAGAACCCCCCGGTCCAGCCTTACCGATGATCACCACGGGCAGCACCTCTCCAGACGAGCTTTCTTTATCCTGTAGATCCATTTCTTCTTCTGCAACACAGAAACACATCAGCTTCAGTCACACAGGAATCTGACCATATTTGGTCACGGCGCGTCTCCTGCTTCCTACCTTTGACCTCGAGGTCAAGCTGAGGTTCGGCGCAGCAGGAAGGAAGTGAGTTTTAACTTCTGCCTGAACTGCTTCTTAAAGTTCCGCCTGAATCAGCGGCTGAGGTTTAAAACTAAAACCAGGATTTATTTTAGCTGCACATCAGACACAAAGACCTCCCATTTAAAGCAGTCCTTCAAAACAGGCATCAAGAAGCCTGCATTTGTCGGCTGCATAACGAGGAGTCTTCTCATCCTAACAGGCCTCGCCGCTGCGCCATGATGTAATCGGCCGACAGATCCGGCCTTCAGAGGCTGGACTGGAACTCAGCAATAGTTCTACAATGACTTTGCTCTGGTTTTACTTCTCATGCAAATACCAGGAAGGTTCTGCTTACATATCAACAATGGCGCCATCTGCTGGCCAGCAGCCATGTTACATATTTGTGGGAGTTTATTCATTTGAATTCACGCTTAATGTTTTCAGAATGAACTCCAGGGTACAACAAAATTGTTCCCATGATATCTTGGATAGAAACCAGAGACTGAGAACTTCACAGCTAAAGCTTTAAAAAATACTGAACACACCTCCCTCAGCATGATGCTGCCACCACCGTGCTCAGTTTGTGGTCTGATCGAACCCTTTGATTCCCTAAGCAGCTTCCTTCCTGCTGCTCAGCGCTAAGCGCTGGACTCGACCTCAGAGCGGCGAAGGTTCATCAAAGTCCTCCTTTCATCGCCTCCAGCTCATTTAGTTTCTATTACAGAGTAAAACCACTGGGAAGATTTAAAAAAAAAAGAAAACAAAGCAGGCTGTTAGAATCCCGTCAGTGTAATGGACTCTGAGGTCAGCCATGATCTCACCGACAACCCCCCCCCCCCCCCCCCCCCCCCCCTCCTGTGGGCCGGGCCGAGGCCAGCAGGAGCCGGCTGACTTTCACAATCTGCAGAGTCATGCTGATGACGTTGAATACCAACACGTGAGAAGAGAAGACACATGGAGGGAGAGGAAGAAAAAACCTGAGCAACAACAAAACGGAAAGGAGCGGAGGAGGAGGAGGGGCTGCGTGAGAGCGAAGCAGGACCTGGCCCGGAGCCCAAACGCCGCCGCCTCTCTGAGCCAAAGACCCCTGGAGCTACGTGCCGCGCCAGCAACTCTCTTCCTGAGTGGAGCCGTCACCATGGCGATGAGATTATTCATCCTGGGGGCAAAAATATAAAGGTTTGGCAGCCCCGCCCACTGACTGCCTCACCAAATGCAGGAATTCAACCTTTACTCTCACTTTAAAATAAGATGTAAGGAGGAAGGTGATGAGTCACGGTGTTTATGCTGCAGAGAAGAGAAGAGAGAAGCAGGCTGCCAGCCTTCAGCCATCATGGCATCAGATAACGTCCCGAGTCACAAGGTTCGCCTCAGCGAAAGAAGGACCAGATGATCGCAACTCATTAAAACGGGAATTAAGTCAATAAACCTGATTCATGTCAAGACCTGTATCCATTCATCTTTTGTGTGCATGAAGGTCATCTTGAATCATAAGTATCTATAATCTAGCTGTGGATTTGGAGTTGCACGGGGAAATTAACGTTTCTTAAATGTTTTAGTCTTATAAGAAAAGTTAAATCTCTTAGTGTGAGAAAACAAACCATGAACTGAGACACAAATTAAAAACAAATCTAGATTTTTTGCTTTTTTCAGTTATTTCAAACTGTAGGGCCCTAGAATTTCCACGATTACGGAATCGCGGAATTGGCAAATTAACACGGAATCTAGTGTAAACGCGGAATTTATACATTTGAAATGAAATTCTGTTTTTGTGTGGGAGAAGAACGTACATCAGGGGGGGAAATGCACACCGGGGGACGCAAATCTGGGTGCCACAACCCCTCCCGCTCCGTCATTTCCGCTCCCCCTCCCCCATCAAAACATTGAAAAAATGGCGAGAAAGTTGAGAAACACGACGCTAAGCCCCGAGTACAGAGCCTTTTACGTGACAGGTAAGATATTGTTTTAGAAAGTTTTGTCAACATTCCGTTGACTGGAAGAGCAAAAAAACATCAAATGGGAAAAACGGAATTTTCAAAATTTAAAACGGAAAAAACGGAATTTGGGAAAAAATAAAACGGATTTTATAGAGCCCTAAAACTGTCATTCAAAAAACATTTGTGGATTATAACTTTGGAGTTTTTTCATCGTACATCTTTAGCAATTATAAAAAAAAAAGTAAAATTTTCAGCTCTGAGTAAAAAAAAACAAAAATAATCTTGGATTCTTAGTTTTGTCTCTTTATCACTACAGATCAGTGAAAACAGAAGTGCACAGATCTGCTGCTGTGTCACTAGTCGCATCTTCGCTCATTTTCTGCGTCATAAAAACTGAGATGCAAGAGATTTTTCATCCGTGACTCAGAGCTCAGTTTGTGTGCTTCTATTCAACAATGCGAGGAATTTTAACTATTTTTTTAAGAAGGAAAAAAACAACAAACTAGTAGTTTTGGATTAATTAAAGCAAAGCTGAGAATCTAAGAACAAGTTTTTGTACTTGACAGTTTGAAGAAGAGTTGAAACTCATCTGCATTTGTAAAACTTTACTGTAACTTCCAGTCCAGTAAAAATGGACAAAATGTAGGATTTAAATTACCTCCATATCAGTGACATCAGGTGTTTTATGGGGCTACATTTGGGCCATAAACGTTGTTCAAAAATATTCATTTTAAAACTGAAAAAATGTTTCAAAAATGTTGTTCTCCTCTAATTTTGTTTGGGAAACTTTTTTTTAAATCTTTTTATTTTTTATTTTTTTTAGTTCCAATATCTTCCAACTTAGAAAATAATTAGATGCTACAACTTTACAACAATCAAAGGACAAGCCTCAAATTTACGAGTATAAATCTACATTAAAAAATGCACTCTAGAAATAAAATTGGAAAGATGTTTGATCAAATTGCTTTAAATTTCAATATTTTTTAAAAGATTTAATATTTTCACATTTTATATTTTTTTCACAATGTGTTTTTACAGAATTTACATTTTCAGATTTCTCTTTTTAAACTGATTTTTACAAATTTCATTCTCTTCAAATATTTTTTTCCAGATCACATTCCCTTGCGTCCTGGGGGCGGGGCTTCTCTGGGATTAGGAGCATAAACGCGTTTCTATTGGCAGAAACAATTTAATAGGCTTGAAGTAAAAAAAATACAATTCTTAAAGTTGAAGTTGAGATTTTAATATAAAATCTGTGATTAAAAAAATGTAAAAACATAAAATAAAAACATTTTATTGAATGAAGAAGTTTTTCAGAGTTTTATTTTTCTCTATAGCCTAGTTAGACTTTTTTTGTATTTTGGGGGGATTTTAATCAACTAAAATCCAAATAAATGTTTAAAAAAATCTAAACTTTTAAAGTATTTCTGACTTCCTCAGCGTAGTTTTCCTGCAGGAAACCTGAGGGAAGCTTTCCTGTTTCTTCCTGAAAACAAACGGACCCAGAAAGTTCTGTCAAACTGAAACACGGCGACGCTTCTCTGAAGAAACGGGAAAACAGGAACGTCCAGAGAAACAAGCCAAGATGGCCTCTTTTCTTTTGCACAAATAAGAGCCATGCCTGCTCCGAGCAACTGACCCAACGAGCAACTGATTACCAGGTGGAAAGCAGAACTTGTTCCATTTAAACAGTTTTTTCTCCAGTCAGAACAGAAGATAACCACTAATAACCATTCCTGAGATGCTTTAAACACAAAGATTTCCTGGCTGATTAACCTCCAAGGTTTTCCCCTCACCCAGCATCCTAAACTAAAGTCTTTGCAGGATTTTTAGCCAAAAAAAAAAGCCAAAAAGACACCAGAAAAGGAAGCTATACCTCTGGGAATCTGTATTCAGTTCAACAGCAATGAAAACCAATGAATCTAAACCATCCTGCAGGCAGCGTTCCTGTTCTGGCCTCAAACTGGGCCTGCGAGGACACAATCAGATAGTGAACAATCTCAGTTATCGTGCAGCAATAGTGACTCGATAAACACGCCTGGAGGCTGGAGTTTGGAAATGATCAGAGAGGAAAACGGATCTATAGCTGGAGGATTTCATTTCTGTCTCTCACGATCACCGAGTCTGGGAGCGGCCATTTTTGCCCAAATATAGTAGCCCCTCCCTCCTGCCATCTTCCAGCAGTGACGTCACGGTGCGGTAAGCCTAGCGCCATTCTCCCCGCTTTACAAGCTAAATCAATGGGAACTACTAGACACATCTGCAATCAACAACAATTATTGAAGATTTCCAGAGGACTTCACCATTGAAATTCACCAGAGCTATAGTGAAAGGTGCTGTAGGAGATCTAGGAAAACAGTTCCAGCAAGTTATATTTTTTGAACATACAACCATGCCTCTCCCTTCAAACCCCTCCAAACAAAGCCTTCAAAACACATGAACGCGCACGCTGTCCGCAGTGCGTTGCTGATCTAACCCCCAGACACCAGATACAGCACTGGGACTTGATCAACAGCCGATACCGCACCGTGACGTCACAAACCAGTAGGTGGCAGTAGTGTTCTTTGACAAACATGGATGCCTCCAGTAAAGAACATTCACATGAAAATTACTCTGAATTAAAAACATTTATTGAACAGGATGGAATCATTTAATCCATCCATCTTCTGTCATTCTTATCCCTGCTGGGGGGCGAGGGGTGCTAGTGTCCATCTCCAGCTGTCTACAGGTGAGAGGCGGGGTTCACCTGGACAGGTCTCCAGTCCATCGCAGGGAAACACAGAGACAAACAGGACAAAAAAAACCATTCACGCACACCTACAGAGGATTAGAGAAGCCAATTAACCTAACAGTCATGTTTTTGGAGGAAGCTGGAGTACCCTGAGAGAACCCATGCATGCTCAGGGAGAACATCCAGACTCCATGCAGAAAGACTCCAGGCCGGGAATCAAACCCAGAACTACCCAGTGCTCCACTGAGCAGGCCAATAATTTCATATTTAAAATAGTTTCAGAAGTTTGAATCCTGAACATGAGCGGACTTTTCCTTTAAAACCTCATTCTGACAGAAAGAAGAAGCTATTTTTTAAGCTTCATTTAGTTTACCTGCTAAAAACTGTGGATATAAATTATAAATAACTTTACATCTGAAACTTTAAAAGCAAAAACTCCAGAATCGGTTGGATTGTGTGAACCTGGCAGGAGTCCAGCAGCGTGACTGTATATGTCACGCTGCTGGACTCCTCCCTCCATAATCCAGCCTCATAGCGAGCTGCTAGCTGCAGGGTTAGCCGCTCTCAGAAGCAGCCCTCTGGGGGCAAACTGCTCTTACTTACCGGTTCCTCTCCGTAGACGTGGATCCCCTGCTTACTTCCAGAATAATTCTCCTTATTTTTCGGTTGTTTTAGCCTCCGTCTGTCAGCGTGTCATGCCGCAGCCCCACGCCTGCCTTCCATTCAGCTCCTTCCCTGATATCTCCGCCCTTCTGCTCTGAGCAGCAGCCTGACATTCACCCATTGCATACTACTACTCCAGCCCTGCACTAACAGCCAATCAACGGCGGCCACCCGGTTCGCCAGCCAATCACAAATCGCGTGAGCGGAATCTGATTAAAAAAAAAAAAAAAAAAGCGGCGTCACAGGAAAAAAAAAAAAAGCTCGTTTATTCATGCGAGATGATCAGCGCATTACAACATGGACGATAGTTTTACAGAAAGGTTTTAAAGTTTAATGGACGTTTTCAGGCGGATTTCTTTGTAATGAGCGAC